GTTATTTTAGAGTGGACTCCCTCTATTAAGAAATCAGTTGGCCGGGCACGGTGGCTCACGCCTGTAATCCCAGCACTTTGGGAGGCCGAGGCGGGTGGATCACGAGGTCAAGAGATCGAGACCATCCTGGTCAACATGGTGAAACCCCATCTCTACTAAAAATACAAAAATTCAGCTGGGCAGGGTGGCATGTGCCTGTAATCCCAGCTACTCAGGAGGCTGAGGTAGGAGAATTGCCTGAACCCAGGAGGCGGAGGTTGCGGTGAGCCGAGATTGCGCCATTGCACTCCAGCCTGGGTAACAAGAGCGAAACTCCGTCTCAAAAAAAAAAAAAAAAAAAAAGAAAGAAAGAAATCAGTTAACTGTAGAACAGTCTCAGGCAGGTCCTTCAGGTGGCATTCTGGAAGAAGGCATTGTTATCATAGGAGATGTTAGCTCCCTGCATGTTATTGCCCCTGAAAACCCTACAGTAGGACAAGATGTGGAGGTGGAAGAGAGTGATATTGATGATCCTGACGCTATGTAGGCCTTGGCTATGTGTGTTTGTTTTAGTATTTATTTAAAAAGTAAAAAAAAAAAAAAAAAAAAAAAAAAGCTTAATAAATTTTATAAAGAAAATGTGTGGTTTTTAAACTGTTATTACAAAACAGTTAAAAAAATTATAAAGCTTATAAAATGAAAACATTACAGTAAGCTAAGTTTATTATGGAACAGGTTGGGTGATAAGGTGGTTCCTGCCTGTAATTCTAGCACTTTGGGAGGCCATGGCAAGAGGATCTCTTGAGACCGGGTGTTTGAGAGCAGCTTGGGTGACAAAGCAAGATCTCTTCTCTACAAAGAAATAAAATAACTGGGTGCAGTAGTCCCAGCTACTTGGGAGGCTGAGGTAGGAGGATTGCTTGAGCCTAGGAGAATGAGCTTATAGTGAGCTGTGATCATGCCATTGCACTACATCATGGGCAACAGAGCAAGACTCTGTCTCAGAGCAAAAAAAAAAAAAAAAAAAAAAAAGGTTATTGTAGAAAGGAAGATTTTAAAAAATGTATAGCCCACGTTTATGGTGTTTGTATAGTCTACAGTAGTGTACTACAGCAATGTACTAGTCTTTCACTTTCATTGACCACTCACTCACTGACTCATTCAGAGCAACTCTCAGTCCTGAGAGTACTATTCATGATAAGTACCCTATACAGGTGTACGATTTTTGATTTTTTATTTTTTGAGATGGAGTTTTACTATTGTTGTTCAGGCTAGAGTGCAATGGTGCTGTCTTGGCTCACTGCAACCTTTGCCTCCCAGGTTCAAGCGATTCTCCTGCCTCAGTCTCTCGAGTAGCTGGGTTTATAAGCGTATACCACCATGCCCAGCTAATTTTATATTTTTAGTAGAGATGGGGTTTCACCATGTTGGCCAGGGTGGTCTTGAACTCCTGACCTCAGGTGATTTGCCTGCCTCAGCCTCCCAAAGTGCTGGAATTACAGGTTTGAGCCACTGCAACCAGTGCCATTTTTTATCTTTTACACTGTATTTTTACTATACCTTTTCTAGGTTTAGATACACAAATACCACTGTGTTTAAAATTGCCTAAATATTCTTCTTCATAATATGCTGGGGAGATTTGTAGCCTAGGAGCAATAGGCTACCATATAGCCTAGGTGTGTAGTAAGCTATACCATCTAGATTTGTGTAACTACACTGTATGATGTTCAGTCAACAGTGAAATCAAAGATGAATTTCTTGCATCCCCGTCATTAAGTAATGCATGACTATATGTAAAGCCCTTAGGATGGTGCCTGGCATGTACTTCCTCTTATACATACATGCACGGTGGAAGATAAAGGAGAAGGATTCTAATGCAAAAGTATGGAATGTGTTTTTTACTCTCCCTCAGTACAAAATATACAACAGTATATAGTGACTTTCCTAATCTCCCTTAAGATCAGTGGTCATAAATTTATTAATGATTTCTGTCCCTTTAGGAAGCTAAAAAAATGGGGAGATTCAGAGGGCATTTTCCTGAGAAACCCTTGTATATTTGGCCTTATTGTTTGTGTTTCCTTCTATGCTGTACGTTCTTTGAAGATAGAGCCATGTTTGACTTATTATTTTGTACCTAGCTCAAGCAGAGTACCTGACACATAGAAACTTGTCAAATATTTGTTGACTGAGTGAATGAATAAATGTGTTTCTATTGCTAAGGGAGTTTTGGACAGTTTTACTTCTAGTTAATGCTAATTCTAACTCTGTAAAATTATTGGAGAAAAGTCTAGAAAGCAAAGAAAGTGGAAACATTATTTCGGCTCTAAAGTGATGGGGAATAGCACTGGTACAAATGTCCAAAAAGGTAAAAAATAATATTTTACCTTTAAATTTTAATTTTTGATTTTCAATATAGTATACAAGATAATTGTTATTCTCATGAAAATAATTCATATTTCAAAAGTTAGTGTACATGTTTCTTCTGTTTCATCAAAGGGTTTTTTCCTTGAGTTGCCTCATTTACAAATTTTGATTCTTCTTTAATTGTATTACATTTAGGATTTTAGAACATTTTTCTGTAAAATCTACGGCTTATGATTAGTTGCATAGAAATATATAGGATTCACTTAAGAGAAATTGACTGCATCTGTTAAGTTAAACAGAGCTAAAGATCAATACTGATTCAATGTCCATAAGAGGTAAATAGCAAATTATTGTTAACCTTTAATTTTGGCATTAATTTTAATGGTTGAATATCTGACTTTTAAAAGATAATTAATAATTAGCATGTACAGGTTATTTTTATTTTTTTAATTAAGGGACAGGGTTTTGCTCTGTTGCCCAGGTTGCAGTGCAGTAGTGTGATCTCAGCTCACTGCAACCTCTACGTCCCTGGTTCAAGCGATTGTTCTGCTTCAGCCTCCTGAGTAGCTGGGATTACAGGCGCCCACCACAATGCCCAGCTACGTTTTATATTTTTAGTAGAGACAGAGTTTTGTCATGTTGGCCAGGCTGGTCTCAAACTCCTGATCTCAAGTGTCCTCCTGCCTTGGCCTCCCAAAGTGCTGGGAGCCACTGCGCTTGGCCACTATTTCTTACCATATACAAAAATCAAGCCAAAACAGATTAATGACTTAAATGTCAGACCTGAAACTGCTAGAAGAAAACAGGGGAAATGCTTCAGAACATTGGTCTGGGTAAAGATTTTATGGAGAAGACCTCAGAAGCCCAGGTCACAAGCAAAGATAGACAAATGGGATTTTATCAAACTAGAAAGCTTCTACACAGCAAAGGAAACAATCGAGTGAAGAGACAACCTACAGAATGAGAGAAAATATTTGCAGACTTTCATCTGAAAAGGGATTAATATATATAAAGATCTCAAAGAACTCAAAAGCAAAAATCCCAATACTTCAATTTTAAAATGGATAAATGAGCTGAATAGACGTTTCTCAAAAGAAGACAATACAGATGGCTAACAGGTATATGAAAAAATGCTCGACATCACCGGCCATCACGGAAATGCAAATCAAAACCACAGTGAGATATCATGTCAACACAGTTAAAATGACTGTTATCAAAAAGACAAAAAGATAACAAATGCTGGCAAAGATGCAGAGAAAGGGGAATTCTTATACACTGGTGATGTGAATGTAAATTAGTACAGCCATTACGGATAACAGTATTGAGGTTCCCCCAAAAAACTAGAATAGAACTACCCTATGATCCAGCAGTCTCAGTATATATCCAAAGGAAAGATAATCTGTATGTTGAAGGGATATCTGTATTCCTATGTTTATTGCAGCACTATTCACAATAGTCATGACATGGAATTCAGTGTACATATCTATCAACAGATGAATGGATAAAGAAAATGTGGTATATATACACAATGCAATACTATTTAGCTGTAGGAATGAAGTTGTATCATTCAAGGTAACACGAATGGAACTGGAGGACGTTATGAAAAGTGAAATAATTCAGGCACAGAATGATAAATACTTCATGTTCTCATGCATGCATGGAAGCTAAAAAGTTGATCTGATAGAAGTAGAGAGTAAAATAATAGTTACTAGAAGCAGGGAAGTGTAAGAGGGAGGAATGAGAAATACCAACGGTTGGTTAACAAATACAGAAGTACAGCTAGATAGGAATAAGATTTAGTGTTCTGTAGCACTATAAGGTGACTTATTAACAACAATTTATTGTATATTTTCAAATAGCTAGAAGGGTGAATTTTGAATGAACCCAACACAAAGAAATGATACATGATCAAGGTGATAGATATAGTTTGATCATTACACATTGCATACATGTATTAAAATATCACACTCTACCCCATAAGTATGTACAATTATTACATGTCAATTAAAAATAACCAAAAGCAAAAGATGGAAGTTAACTTGTTTTTGAGGAGTGAAATTCAGAGGAGAGGAGAGATGGCTCATGGGACTATTATTTTTCACTTACTGATCTTTTGTCACATTCAAATATTTTAGAAAGTAATAAAGTATATGGATGTATTAGTTGAGAAGATTAAAAACTAAAACAAAATATATATTAGTGGCAAGTTCCTTTAAGGAGCGTTAGGATTAAGGTGTCCCCCATAAAAAGGAGTCAGATATAGAGAAAAAGAAATGTGTAAGTTTATTTTTTTGTATTTAAAAGGGCTTTTCTGTCTGGGCACAGTGGGTCAGACCTGTAATCCCAGCACTTTGGGAGGCCGAGGCGGGTGGATCACCTGAGGTCAGGAGTTTGAGGTCAGCCTGGCCAACATGGTGAAATCCCATCTTTACTAAAAATACAAAAAATTAGCCAGGCATGGTGGTAGGCATCTGTAATTCCAGATAGTTGGGAGGCTGAGACAGGAGAATCTCTTGAACCTGGGAGACAGAGGTTGCAGTGAGCCAAGGTTGCAGCATTGCATTCCAGCCTGGTCAACAAGAGTGAAACTGCGTCTCAAAAAAAGAAAAAATAAATAAAAGGGCTTTTCTTTATTTCTGGTTTTGTTTTATTCTTAGGGTTTCAAAAACAAACCAAAAAAGATGGGCCATATAAAGCCAGACTTGATTGACGTTGACTTAATCAGAGGTGAGTTCTTAAATTGTTTTTTATGTACATTATTAAATTATTTCACAGTGATACTTATTTTTCAATATCTTTTCTATATGATAGTGTGCTTTAATTTTCGAATGTAACACTTTACTCATCATTCAGGCTGTAGTACTTTTTCCCCCTCAGCCTTAGTACTCTGTGGCTCTATAAATTACTGCATTCATATTAAAGAGGGGTGAACATAGAGACTTTTTGTTGTATAAGTAAGATAAATATATTGTTTAACATTCAAGGAAGCCTAATTTATTTTGAGCTTCTGTCCTAGTGATTGAAGCAAGAAGTTACTACATTTAACAAACATGTAAGAGAGTTTTTTTTTTTTTTTTTTTTTTTTTTTTAACTGAACAGGTTTTGTGCTGATTTTTGTACTCACCTGTTTTAATGTAGTGCTACAGGTGGGCATCAATATGGTGTATATAAATGTTTGATGTTTTGTTTTATTGTATGTTTAAAGGCTCAACATTTGCCAAAGCAAAACCTGAAATTCCATGGACATCTCTGACTCGGAAGGGGCTTGTTCGAGTTGTATTTTTTCCATTGTTCAGCAATTGGTGGATTCAGGTTACCTCTTTAAGAATCTTTGTTTGGCTGTTACTGCTTTATTTCATGCAAGGTAATTGGGGGAGCTGGAATAAGCAATGACAGTTTCTTTTTGCTGCTTTTGCTATTAGATAATGAAGACCTACTATTTTTACATTTATCCTTTCATTTCACAGTTTAAAGTATGCAGAAATGGGCTGGACATGGTGGCTTTGCCTATAATTCCAGCACTTTGGGAGGGTGAGGTGGGCAGATCACAAGTTCAGGAGTTCGAGACCAACAAGTTCAGGAGTTCAAGACCAACCAGGTTGTTATGGTGAAACCTCGTCTCTATTGAAAATACAAAAATTAGCCAGGCGAGGTAGCGGGTGCCTGTAGTTCCAGCTATTCAGGAGGCTGAGGCAGGAGAATCTCTTGAACCTGGGAGGCAGAGGTTGCAGTGAGCTGAGATTGCACCACTGTACTCCAGCCTGGGCAACAGGGCAAGACTCTGTCTCAAAAAACTAAATAAATAAAAAGTACGCAGAAATGAAGATACATACACCATTCAGGGTTCATCTTAAAATTATCTGCTAGAAGAGAGCAAACATACTTGTTTAACTCTTTCTCCTCACTTGAGTTTCTTTTTATCTGTCTCACTGGTCTTCTCAGTCTTTTCTTGTGTATGACCTTTGAGCCTTTGAATATTGGGTATGTGTGTTTTTTTGTTTTTGTTTTTGAGACAGGGTCTCTCTCTATCACCCAGGCTGGAGTGCAGTGGCACGATCACAGCTCACTGCAGCCTCGACCTCCCAGACTCAAGCAATCCTTACACCTCAGCTTCCCAAGTAGCTGGCACGACAGTTGTATGCCACTGTGCCTAGCTAATTTTTGTATTTTTTTTTTTTTTTGTAGAGACAAGGTGATGACATGTTACCCAGGCTGGTCTTGAACTCTTGGGCTCAAGCAGTCTTCCCACCTTGGCCTCCCAAAGTGTTGGAATTACAGGTGTGAGCCAACTGCGTCCAGCCTGAATATTGGATTACCTAAAGTTTGTACCCTAGGTTCTGTTCTCTAAGTACTCTCATTAAGCCCTATTGCTTTAAATGTAGTTGATATACTGATGATTCCCAAATCTGTATCTTCAGGCCAGATCTCTCTGCTGAACTTCAGACTTGTAAATCTAATTGCCTGCTTGACATTTCCATATGGAGATTTAATTGGTATCTTGAACTTAATTACATAAAAAAAATGGAATTCTTGACTTTTAGATATGTGTGTATAAACTTGTTGTTCTTTACATCTCCAATTCACTAAATGATACCATCAGTCACCTAGTATTCAGGTGAAAAATTAAATCTTCCTACACTACTCTACCATCAACTCTTATAATCTGTGACCAAGTCTATGAGTTCTTCATCCAAATTTTTCATTCTATTTATCATGGTCTCTCCTGCCACGATCTTTGTCCACAGCACCAGCATTTCTTTGCCTAGACCACTGGAATAACATCTGCTCTGAGCCTTCTACCAATCATTCTTTTCACAGCAATTATTGAAATCTTTTAAAAACAGAAGCCATATAATGTCATTTTCCTGCTAAAAACCCCGTAATGACTTCTGTTGACCTTATAATAAAAATCCAAAGTTCTTGTCATGGCATATATCCTACAGGACTTGTTCTCTGCTCTCCTCTCAGACATCATCTCGCACTATTTCTTACTATTCTTCTCATGCTGGCTCTAGGCATAATGTCCTTTTTTTTTTGTTCTTCACACAGAGCCGTTTGTTTCATTTGAAGCATTCTTTTTTTTTAAAAGATGGAGTTTTGTTCTTTTTGCCCAGGCTAGAGTGCAATGGTGCAATCTTGGCTCACTGCAACCTCTGCCTTTCAGACTTAAGCAGTTCTTTGTGCCTCAGCCTCCTGAGTAACTGGGACTACAGGCACATGCCACCATGTCCGGGTTTCACCATGTTGGCCAGGCTGGTCTCAAACTCCTGACCTCAGGTGATTCATCTGCCTTGGCCTTCCAAAGTGCTGGGATTACAGGCATGAGCCACCACGCCTAGCCATTTGAAGCATTCTTAAGGCTTTTCAAATGGCTGGCTTTTTTCTCACCTTTAAATCTCAGCTTAACTTTCATAAAGAGGCCATTCTTATCTATATTTCTAAGTAGTCCTGATACCCTCTAGTCACTATCATGTGAATCAGTTTTAATTTCTGTACTACACATCACTACCTGATGTTTTCTAACTGTGTGCATGGATTCAATATATTACAACTGTATTCTCATTGTCTACCAAGGAAGTAGGCAGTATATACTATGGTTACACCTGTGCAAAAAGACATTAATTAGAACAAAGAGCGGGAGAAATTTGGGTTAAGGTGAAAGAATTATGGGTTATTTACTTTTATCTGTGTCAGTTAAAATTTTTTTTAAGTTATAGAGTGAAAAATAGATGTATGAATTTACAAATCTGTAGGTTTTTTTTTTTTTAATTTGTGAAGGTGTCATTTATTAGAATATCTGTGATGGAAATGTTCTGCATCTGTGCTGCCCAATGTAGTAGCTGCTTGGCCACATGTGGCTATTGAGTATTCGAAATGCAGTTAGTGTCAATAAGAGACTGAATTTTAAATTTTATTTGATTTAAATTAAGTCTTCATATCCATCATTTTAATGGTCGCCTAATGATTTATCATATGGGCGGGCCATCACTTAAAAGTATTTTAGGCCGGGCGTGGTGGCTCATGCCTGTAATTCTAGCACTTTGGGAGGCCGAGGTGGGTGGATCACCTGAGGTCAGGAGATCAAGACCGGCCTGGCCATCATGGTGAAACCCCATCTTTTTAAATTTTTTTTTATTTTTTATTTTAAGATGGGGTTTCTCCATGATGGCCAGGCTGGTCTTGATCTCCTGACCTCAAGTGATCCACCCACCTCGGCCTCCCAAAGCGCTGGGATTACAGGTGTGAGCCATCACACCTGGCCGAAACCCCATCTTTAAAAAAAAAAAAAATTAAAAAGAAATTTAATGTCTGTACAATCTATTGTATGTAAAGTCATATGTAGTCTGTCATATGGATTTATCGTAAGCATCTTTATATAAATGCTTTTTTTTTTTTTTTTTTTCTTTTTTTGAGACGGAGCATCACTCTGTTGCCTAGGCTGGAGTGCAGTGGTGTGATCTTGGCTCGCTGCAACCTCTGCCTCCCAGGTTAAAGTGATTCCCCTGCCTCAGTTCCCAAGTAACTGGGACTACAGACACACACCACCATGCCTGGCTAATTTTTGTATTTTTAGTAGAGATGGGGTTTCACTATGTTGGCTAGGTTGGTTTTGAACTCCTGACCTCAGGTGATCCTCCTGCTTCAGCTTCCTAGAGTGCTGGGATTATAGGTGTGAGCCACCACACCTGGCCTTTATAGCTTCTTAATAGTCCATTATGTAAGAGTACTGTAATTTATGTAACCTTTCTGTCTTAGTCTGTTCAGGCTACTATAAGAAAAATACCATAGACTGGGTGATTTATCAACAACACAAATTTATTTCTGACAATTTTGGAGGCTGGGAAGTCCAGGATCAAGGTGCCAGAAGATGTGGTATCTGGTGAGGGCCTGCTTTCTGATTCATAGGTATCAGTCTTCTTGCTGTGTCCTCACGTGTGCTGGAAGGGGCAAGGAAGCTCTTAGGAGTCATTTATAAGGGCACTTCTATAAGGGCACTCATCCCAAAACTATAACCAAGTGGTTATATGTGACTGGGGACCTCCTTAACATGCTTTCTCACTTTTTACAATGTGGGTAGGCTGAGAACTTTTCAAATCTTTAAGTTATGCTTCCTTTTTCCTTAACAATTTGACCTTTTAAGTAATTTCTCTTCTCACATTTTACTATAAGCACATAGGAAGAGCCAAGCTGCACCTTTAACACTTTGCTTCAGAATAGCTTCGGCTAAATATGCAATTTCATAACTTACAAGTTTCACTTTCCACAGCGTACTAGACCACAAATACAGTTCAGCCAAGTTCTTTGCGACTCTCTAACAAGGATTGTTTTTCCTTCAGTTTCTAATAACATATTACTTCTCATTTCTGAGACCTCACCAGAATGGGGTTTATCATATTTTACCAACACTCTGTTCATGGTTACTTATGTATTCTCTAAGAAGATTGAGGCTATTTCTGTAGCTCCCTTTCCTCCTTTCCTCCTTCCCTTCCTTTTTTTTTTTTTCCCCCCCCAAGACAGAGTCTCACACTGTTGCCCAGCCTGGAGTGCAGTGGCACGATCTTGGCTCACTGCAACCTCCACCTGCTGGGGTCAAGTGATTCTCCTGTGTCAGCCTCCCGAGTAGCAGGGATTACAGGCACATGCCACCATGCCTGTTTTTTTTTTTTTTTTTTTTTTTTTTTAAAGCAGAGACAGGGGTTTCACCATGTTGGCCAAGCTGGTCTCAAACTCCTGACCTCAGGTGAACCACCCGCTTTGGCCTCCCAAAGTGCTGGGATTACAGGCATGAGCCACTGGATTAATAGAAAATATAAGTTTTCCTTATATTTCTTTAGAATTTATTCATTGAAATTGAATTAACAGATCAAAGAATGTGGACATTTAAGGCTTTTAGTACATATAATGAAATCGCTGGTGCCACAGTTCTTTTGGAAAGCAATAGATGAGAGTACTTATTTTTACCATGGTTAGCATTATTATAATTAAAAAAATTGTTAGCTAGGTGGGGAGCTGTGGCTCAAACCTGTAATTCCAGCACTTTGGGAAGCTCTGCGGTGTGAAGACTTGAGGCCAGGAGTTTGAGACCAGCCTAGGAAACATAGCAAGACTGAATCTCTACAAAAAAAAAGAAAAATACAAAAAATTAGCCAGGCGTGGTGGTGCATTCCTGTAGTTCCAGCTACTTATGAGGCTGAGGTGGGAGGAACACTTGAACCCAGGAGTTCAAGGTTACAGTGAGCTATGATTCATCACTGCACTCTAGCGTGGCTGACAGAGTAAGACCCTGACTGTACCTCTGCCCCTCCCCCAATAAAAAATTGTTACCTAATTTAACATGCAAAAAATATTTTGCTTGTTGAATAT